CTTCATTGCACTTAATGGAGAGCTTTTCCTTCCCTCATTGTGTGACTGTACTTATTATTGTGCCTTGTATTGTGATTTTTCACTAATTTTCCTGTTAAATAGTATGCTGAAGATAAGCTCTTCTACAGAGGGTTACCAGAGTTGCCAAAGAAAAATAGAGGACACCCAGTTAAATTTGACTTTCAAGTAGGCATGTTTTAGTGTATGTAATATTTGAGACATACTTAAATTAAAAATTTATCTGAGATTCAGATTTAACTGAGAAAATAAAATAAACTGGAAAATCTAGAAGAAACAGAGAAATTTCTAGGCATGTGTGACGAGCCAAAATTGAACCAAGAGGATATAAATCACCTAAATAACCTACAACAAGCAATGAACTTGAAGCAGCAATGAAGAGTCCAATACCTGACAGATTCATGGCTGAATTCTGAGACCTTCAAAGAAGAACTAATACCAATACTCCTCAAACTTTTCCATGAAATAGAAAGGGAAGGAACACTACCTATCTCATTCTATGAAGCCAGCATTATATACTCATCCCAAAAAGGGGAATTATACACCAATCTCTTTAATGAACTTAGATGCAAAAATCCTCAATAAAATACCGGTAAACCAAATTCAACAACATATCAAAAAGATCATATATCATGATCAAGTTGATTTCATCCCAGAGATACAGGGAGGGTTCAACATATGCAAATCATTAAATGTTATACAGCATATTAACAGAAGTAAAGACAAAAAACACAAGATAATCTCAAGAGATGAAGAAAAAGCCTTTGACAAAATTCAACATCCTTTCATGAGAAAAGCTCTGATGACACTAGGAGTAGAAGGAATGTACCTCAACATAATAAAGGCTATATATGACAAGCCTATAGCCAATATCACAAAATTGGGAAAAAACCGAAACATTTCCTCTAAAGTCAAGAAGAAGATAAGCGTGTCCACTCTCTCCACTCTTATTTATCATAGTCTTGAAATTCCTAGCCAGAGTAATTAGACAGGAAGAAGAAATAAAAGGAATTCAAATAGAAAAGGAAGAAGTCATACTATCCCTATTTGCAGATGGCATGAACTTATACCTAAAAGACCCAAAAATCTCTTAGACATCTCAAACACTTACAGCAAAGTAGCAGGATACAAAATCAATCTACAAAGATGACTAGCTTTTCTACATACCAACAATGAACAGATTAAGAAAGAATATAGGAAAACAATTCCATTTACAATAGTCTTTAAAAAAAAAACATAGGAATAAACTTAACAAAAGAAGTGAAAGACCTCTGCAATGAAAACTATAAACCACTGAAGAAAGAAACTGAAGACTACAAAATATGGAAAGATATCCCATGTGCGTGGGTTGGCAGAATCAATAGTGTGACAGTGGCTATATTATCAAAAGTGATCTACACGTTCAATGCAATCCCCATCAAAATTCCAATGACATGTCATAGAGATGGAAAAATGAACTCTAAAGCTCATTTGGAAGCACAAAAGATCATGAACAGCCAAGGCAATACTGAGCAAAAGAGGTACACTGGAGGTATCACAACACTTGACTTCAAAGTATACTATAGAGTCATAGCAATAAAAAGAGCATGGTACTGGCATAAAAACAGATATGAAGACCAGTGGAACAGAACAGAAGACCTAGATAAGAATCCATGCAGCAATGTCCACCTAAATTTTGACAAAGGTGCCCAAAACATACAATGAAGAAAAAACAGCCTCTTCAACAAATGTTGCTGGGAAAACTGGATATCTCTTTGCAGAAAACTGAAACTAGATCCATGTCTTTCGCCTTGTATAAGTAACAAGTCAAAGTGGATTAAGGACCTTAATATAAGACCTGAAACTTTGAAGCTAGTGCAGGAAAGAGCAGGGAATACACTGGAATTAGTAGGCATTGGCAACGATTTCCTAAATAGAACTCAAAAGACTTCCAACTAAGAGAAACAATTGACAAATGGGACTACATAAATTAAAAAGCTTCTGCACAACAAAAGAAACAGTCACCAGATTGAGGAGACACCCAAAGAATGGGAGAAAATCTTTGCTAGCTATACATCTGACAAGGGATTAATTACCAGAATATATAGGGAGCTCAAAAAACTAACTCCCAAAAATCAATGACACAATGAAGAAATGGCCAAGTGAACTGAACAGAGCTTTTTCAAAGGAAGAAGTCCAAATGACTAAAAAACACATGAAGAAATGCTCAATATCCATAGCCATAAAGGAAATGGAAACCAAAACGACGTCAAGATTCCACCTCATTCCTGTTCGAATGGCTATCATCAAGAATACAAACAACAACAAATGTTGGAAAGGGTATGGGAAAAAAAGAACATTCATATACTGTTGGTGGGAATGTAAATTAGTACAACCACTTGGAAAACAGTATGAAGGCTCCTCAAAAAATTAAACAAAGGACTGCCATATGATCCAGCAATACCATTCCTAGGGATATATCCAAAGGAATATAAGTCAGGTTACAATAAAGGCACCTGCACACCCATGTTTATTACAGCATTATTCACAATAGCTAAGCTATGGAAACAGCCAAGATGTCCCATTATTGATGAATGGATTGAGAAAATGTAGTATTTATATTCAATGGCATTTTATTCGGCCATAAAGAGGAATGCAATTTTGTCATTTTCAGGTAAATGGATGGAACTGGAGAATATCATCTTAAGTGAAGTTAGCCAGGTTCAGAAAGCCAAAGGCCACATGTTTTCTCTCACATGTGGAATACAGACCCAATAGAAATATAAACAATATTATGAAAAATGGGCCAAGCAAAGGGGAGGTCACATACAAGAGAGGAAGGGTAAAGGAAGGACATTAAGAATGTGAATATGGTTGATGTACTCCCTAGATAGGAATGAATGTAGAAATTTTAAACCTGCTGAAATCACTGTAAGAGGGGGACTAAGATAAAAGGGAGAAAAATAGAGGGGATGAACCAATTTGGTTTATAATACATATATACATGGAAATGTCACAATGAAACACCCTGTATAGCTATCTTAAATAAACAAAAAAAAATTTTTTTTTTTTTTATAGAAACGGAGAATAGGAAGGCAAAATGGGTTTTGTCAGGGGGGTAAGTACCAGTTGGATGAGGGAGGATATAAGGAAAGGGTGTAGGAGGATGAATGTGGTAGAAATATTATGTACACATGTATGTAAATGGAAAAATGAGACCTGATGAAACTATTCCAGAAATGGGGGGAGAGAGGATAAAGAAGAATGATGAAGGGGGTGAATTCAACTATGAATATATATACGGTAAGAACTTTTTAAAATGTCACAATATATCACCAGTACAACAATTAAAAAATAAATCAATAAAATGGGAAGATGATTTTTACTTTTAAAAAATTCTCAGTTTTTTTAAAAAAAACTTAAGTGTATTTTAAATTCCAGTATTATCTTTTAGGATGCTTTGCATTGAGATCTACAAAGGTTTTTCTGTTTGTTTCTTTTGTTTGCTTTTCTGGTAAGCAAAGGAGGGGAAGGAAAGAAGAGAGAGATTTTGAAACAATTACCTTTATTTTCTAGTTATTAGTCTTCTCTTTCATCTTACTCCTCAGCTTTTTTCGGTACTATTAAATTCTGAATATACTTTATTCTGTCCATACTCTGATCAATCTGAACTATCTATTTATCCTTCTCTAAGGCAAAAATCACATGATTAAAACTCTACCACCAACTTCTCACTTTAAGTATAAAACAGCCGAGATTTAAATGCTATAACCACATTAGTAATGTGAATAGAGTATATAATTATTTCAGTTGTGTCATGTTATAATGAACCGGCAAATTTATCCTCACCATCCACCATCCAAATGGGCAAATGAATTCTACAGCCAATCTGTACATGGCAAAACTTTCTATCATAAAAGTAAAGGTATATCATCCTTGGCAAACTTCTTCTAAGAGTAGTTGCTCAGAGTCATGCAACACAATACCATCCAGCAGCTACTATAGGCCAGGCATGATGCCAGCATAATGCTGGCATAGATTCAGAGAGCAAAAACAGACCCCATATGTACTTGCAACCAAGTGGCATTCTGGGAAAAGAAGCAGAAATACACAGACAACCATAGTATCGCTTCAACTGCATGGCCAAGGGAAGGCACAATGTTACATACACCTGAATACGAGCACTATGCCTAGGCCAGAGAGATCTGGCGAGCTTTCCCAGGAAAGTGACTGAGCTGCAGTATGACTATGAGTCAGTGAAGTGAAAAGAGGGGAGAACATTCTAGACTGACAGGAAGGAGACTGGGTATCTGCAGCACACAAACCAAGGAGAAATTTGGTGGAAGTGGCAGTTAGAAGCAGGGAGGGCACCACAGACCCCTGTGGTTCACGATAAAGACCATTTCCCTCTTTATCTTTAGAACAGTGGGAAGAGACTGAAGGATGCTGACATGATCTGATCTGTATTTTGATTGCCATGGGGAGACTAGGTCATTCACAATGGAAGGGAGAAGCCAGTAAGAAGACTGCTGCAGTGGCTCAGAGAAAAGACTATGGCAGTTTGGGCAAGATCAACAATGAAAATGAGTATTTGGAAGATTCAAGCTGACAGGACAGGTGCCAGTACTGTGCTAGATCTGTGAGTGCATTAATTCTCAAACTTCTCACATGTGACATACATGTCAGCAGAGAGAAATGTGCTTCAATACAGAATATTGAAGCATACAGAAATTTGTCCAAAATCCAGTTGGTAAATAAAATCAGAACCTAAACCCATGGTTATTTGGGTTCAAAGCCAACTACAAAATTGTATAAAAATTAGAAATACAGTTTTTAAAAAAAGGAGTCTGCATAATGAAGTTTCAAAACTTGAAAGCTTCTGGATCTATTTTATCAAAATACCAAGAGATGAGATCTGATGAAGAACATGGCCTTAAGATTTCTACTTAATAAAATATTCTTTTAAGTTTTACACTCATAGATGACATGTGAGGAAGCCATACCAATCTCAACATATCGACTTGGCAAATCTCTCATCTCACTGGCATGCCGTTCCTTCACTGAGCATATCTGGAAAATAAATTCACAGGTTAGGGATACTCTACTCATCTGGTGGAAAACTCTCCTTAACATTTACTCAACTATGATACTTTGATTAAATTAATCACTTAGCCATGAAAATGGAGCACTTAAATGATAGAAATTAATTTGAATGATATAAAGCAATCATTACTTATATTCTCCAATAAGGTCACATTCAAGCACAAAAAAAAGAAAGAAAACTTTATGATAGCTTTGATGTGTTTCTAATGACCCCTCCTCTGAAACCGTACTTAAGGAACAGAACATGTACACTATAGTGGTCCCACAAGCTTATACTTCTTAGTGATACTGTGGCATCTTACGTTGTCCAAGAACACTATGTATGCACAATGATAAAATCACCTGTGATACATTCCTTAGAATGCATCCCTATTATTAAGCCATTTTTGACTATATTTCTATCACCATTCAAATAAAGCCATAGAAAAAGTATATAACCAAAACTGGCTGATCTGAACAATGTTCACATTAGATCTTATGTCCCTGGTTATGTATTAGTAATTCATTTCACTGCTATTAAATAATACTTTGCAAAAGTGGCATGTGCCTTTCTTATGTCATATGTATTATAACCAGTGTGTTAAATAATTTAAATCTGGGATTGGCAACCATATCCCAGCTCCTAGCCTGTTTTTGTTGAGGTCCATAAGGTAAAAATAGTTTTCAGTTTTTTAAGGAAAGAAAGGGAGAGGGGAGAAAGCAGCAAGTTCGCAGTACATCTAATACTTTTACTACTAGCAATTTACAGAAAGTTTGCCAATCTTTATTTTAAATTATATGTGTTAAATGGGGTAGAAACACACACACACACACACACACACACACACACACACATACATACACACACACACACACACGCAGCCCACCTTATTCATGGACTTATTACATGAAGTTTTAACCAAGCATAGCCAAAAATAATAATTTAAAAAAAATCAGAGAAATTTCAAAACCAAAAAATTTAGAATTTTCTCTCTCTGCCCTTCCCACCCCCTCACATACAAACAAAAGACAACACACATGTATTTTAACAATGTTTGTTTTAGGTTGATATGACTATGGATATTTTCTATCTTCTTTGCTGTACTTTCTGAAGTGAATATACTCAATTTTGTAATAAGGAAACTTTTTACAAACTCAGCTATCCACATAAGAATGAAACTGAGGCTAAGTACTAATCCTAGACAACTTCTGTCAGTGATCAGGTTGTTTTTGTTTTTGTTTTTTATTTTAATAGCTGCTACCCTAGTATAGCTATACTTTGGAAAATTCTAAAGTAGAAAAAACTCAAAGGGGAAAACAAACATTGCTTGTTGTCCCAGCACAAAAATAACATCATTACCAGACTTCTTTTTTATGGGAGCAACTATTAACCCAACGACTTACTACAAATAATGTATTACCTAAATATTCTTCTACCATGTAATTCTTTAATGTCATTACAACATTTTATTATAGGAAAGTACTATAATTTACTTGACTGATCTTTTTCGGCCATTTGATTTTTTTTTATTTGACTTTATCGTAAGCAATAGTATAGTCAACAAACTTAAAGATAAAACTTTTAGGACTTTTGTTCCCTTAGGATGAAGTTCTAGAATGGACAGATCAATGGGTTCAAGCACTTTAGGTTTTATTGTTTATTTAATACATACATCTACATTGCTGTCTAGCAACACTGTAGCAACTCAGGGAATGCACAAGAAAACATGCTTTGCCTCAACCAGGACACAAACCCATGGCTGTTGAAGCTTAAGTCTCCACTTAGGAATGACTATATCTTCCCTTGTTTCATTTGATTTGAAGTATGGGACTAAAGCAAATGTAATAGTAATATTAGCTAGCATTTTTTGAGTAACTACTGGGCCAGTCCTGAGTTAAGGTTATTTTGTTAGATTATGAAGTAGGGGAGACATACAAATGAGGTATTATACCAAAGTGTGATGGGGAAGCAGAAGCATGCACTGGTAGGGCTGGAAGACTTCCTGGAAGAAGTGACATGTAAGTTGAAGCAGAAAAGAGACACACAGATCAGTATGACAGTTCTGAGCCTTCAAAAGGAAGGTCAGACAGACAGAAATAGAGGAGCCAGGGCAAGCAGGGGCAGAGTTGAACTGGAGAGGAATATGGGGACTGGATTATGAGAATCATGGTAGTCATGTTAAGGATCAGCTGCCATATGGAGGAGAATTCCTTATGCGGTTTTCAGAGGAGACTCACACCACTGACCCACACTCTAGATAGATTATTCTAGCTGCACTATTTAAGACAGAATTAAGGGGGGCAAAACCAGAGCAGTAAAGACTTGCTAGGAAGACACAGAAAGGTAGACAGATTTGAGTGATGCTGACTGAACTTGATGACTGACTGGGCCTCTACCAATCCTCAGATACTACTGAAAGGCAACATGAACATGCTAAATCTAGAGATGAAAACACTGAGGCTGTGAACATTGCCCAACACTACAGGCCTAGGGTTGGAACTTGCAGCAAGGCTGGAATGTAGGCCATCAATCTCTCTATGGTTAGGATATATGGCACTAATGACAGCAAGGCCATAGCTCTACTCCACCCCTCATCTGTTCTCTGGTCTGATCTCTTAGCCCCATATCTCTGCCTTGAGGTGGGAAGCAACAGGTATGGAGAATGCACAGGTAAACGCTACCATAAGCTCAAGTCCTGCATAGAGCAGATCAATAATTTAAAGAGCCCTTCCCATGGACAGGAAGACTGTCACCCATGAGCACTAATCTGCTGCATCCAATTGCCGCTCCTCTACTTCTCTGCATGGAAACAAAACAGGCATCTCAAGTGGACACCCCCCCCCCCAAAAAATGCCTGCCTATTTCTCTTTAAAGATGTTCTATCAGGCAGGTGCTGGTGGCTCACACCTGTAATCCTAGCTACTGAGGAGGCAGAGATCAGTAGGATCACGGTTCAAAGCTAACCTGGGCAAATAGTTCGCAAGACCCTATCTAGAAAAACCCATTACAATTAAAAAGGGGGTAGGGGGTGGCTGCTGGAGTAGGCCTAGTTCAAACCCCTGTACCAAAAAAAAAAAAGTTCTATCGACAGTTGTTCCCATTCTAGTTAAACCTGGATTCATCCTCCAGTTCCTTAGGTGACTGTTGACTTTTCTTTTTTTCTTATACCTATGCCCAATCATCAATGAGTATAGTAGGATCTACTCAAACTATATTCAGAATCCAGTCTTTCTCATCAGCATCAGTGTATTTATATGAGAAGACATTATTTTACTGAATGACTGCAAAAGTCTACTGCTTGGTCTCCCCTCTTTCCTATTCCTTTGCTATATGGCTTCACACAGCAACAAGAGTGATCCTTGAAACACAAGTTAGGTCATTTAATTAACTCCACTGCTCAAACTCTCTGCTGGCTTTCCATCTAATTAAAAGCTAATGACTTTCCAAAGGCCTATGAGCCCTGACATAGTATGTTCCTCCATCCCGTCCAACCCAAATCCACATGCACCTCTCTCCCACTAGCTTCATATTTACTCTCTTGTCCACACCTGCTCTACCCTGACAATAATGGCTGCCTTGCTGTTTCTCAAGACACAACAACCATACCCTACCTCAAGGATTCTGCACTACTGCTCCCTGTGCTAACAACCCCATCCTTGTACCCCCACAGGGTTACAACCTTCCACCTTCCAGACTTCTGCCCAAATAACATGTTAGTTATTAGAGGCCACGTCTGTATCACCCATATTAAATGGTGCCTACCCCAAATCCCTTCACCATTATCCTGTTTGAATGCTCTGCTTGGTATTTACCATCATCAACATGGTATATTTATTTGCTTTTTTTGATTTGGTCCACCTTCCCTGACTAGAACAAGATTTTTCAAGGGATATATTAATTTAGGGGGATATATTAATTTGTTTGTCTATGTATGTATCTGCAACATAAGAACATTGCCTGGCACATTGCAGGTGTTTGTTAGCCAAGCAAATGAATGAATTAATAGTTAGCTCTAATTATACACTTTATCTTGCTGTTTCTAGTTGTTTTTCTAGAAATAAGACTGCTCTCTTTTTGAGGAAAGACCAAGTGCTCACTTTCCCTTCCCTCAACAGAACTCACCAAGATTCTAAATGGAAAGGTGTTTGATGTACAACTAATTGAGAAAAGAATCCCTAATAAAATGTTGCATTTGACATACATTTTATTGATCTTAATTTGAGCAAAATGAAAGTATATTCATTTCCTATGATGGCTGCTATAACAGATTACCCAACCCAAACTTGGCAGTTTAAAACAACAGAAATGCATTCTCTTATAGTTCTGGAGCTAGAAGTCTCAAATCACTTTTACTGGGTAGAAATCAAGGTGTGGCTGCACTTCCTCTGGAGGCTCTAGGCTGAACTTGTTCTTGGCCTCCTCAAGCATCCATGGCTGCCTCATTCCCCTTGCTGCCTCAGCAGCAGTACTGCTCTGTCTTCCCTACAGTAGCCTTTCTCTCTCCCTCCCTGGCTGCGGCACATGGGATAGCGTTCAGAGTTCAGACAGGTGATTTAGGACAATCTCCTGATTTCTTGTCTTTAATTTAATTGCATCTTCTGCTATATATCTGCTATATATACAGGTGCCTGGCATTAGGACTTGCTGTCTTGGGGCCACTATTTGGCCTAATGAAGAAAAGCACTTCTAGAAACAATTGGTGAACTTGTTATGGGTCGCTGCAGGCTAATTTCATTTCTTTCACCACAAGAAAAGATGAGCACAACTTTAAAAAAAAGAAAAAAGCCATCTGGCCCATTTGTGAAATGTTTAAAAAACCAAGGACATAAATTATTGGATCACGGACCCCAAAAAGGATCCAAAGGGGGATTACTTATTTAATTCTAGAACTACTGGGCACAGTTTCCTTCTTGTCACCCTAAATATGAGTCAGAATATGTTAATAACCTATGAACCCATGTTCAATCTGAAAAGAACCTAAATCATACCAATGTGAGGAGACTGTATCTCAAGTTTAACAGTGGTGGTTTTGAAAATAACAATCATCACATTAATAATTTTTATGTGCTCCCTTTTCACAGATAAGGGAATTTTAAATAGTTATGTCTATTTCCTAACTCTTTGAGAATTCTGTGATGTAACAATGACAGCAAAGATTCATTAAGCAATTATGTCAGGCTTTATGCCAAGCTCTTTACATGATTGCCTCACTTTTTCATCCCCAAAACTTATGAATTGGGAATGACTATATTGCCATTTTACAGAGGGGGATGGTAAGGCTTAGAGAGGGTCATAGGAAGTAAATGGAAAAAATCTCAGGTGTGCCTGACTACACAACCTGAGCTCTTCCATTAAATTATTATTGCTGGGATGCTTTTTCAGACCATATGCACTTCAGTTAAGTTTCAGCTTGTTTTGTTTAAATTAAGTAATATATTTCAAAACAAAAGCAAACAACTTTTGGCTCTAAAATATCTACTATAATAGAAGCACTGGTAGGCATGAAATAAATGTGAATGGGCTCTCAGCCCCCTTTTGTAGAACAGTTAAATTTCATTTACCCAGGAACATAAAGATCATATAATCATATGCCACAATATATTCCCAATTGTTATTACTAATAATAAATCTGGGCCTCTACTCCATCAGTAGTTTTAACTTCTCTCCCCACTGTCAATAGTTCAGATGAAGAAGTTAAGGGTCAAAGGTAAGGAAAATAGAATAAAGAGGAAAACTGGAATGTAACTAACCACATGTTCTATAAATAGCTAAGGCACTGCAATTGGGGTGTGAGAAATTAAAAAAAAAATGGATTAAGGAAGGCAGTGTCATCCTAAACACAGAAAAGTTCAGATTGTTTTGAATGGCACAGAAGAATGTCTCAAAACTTATGGGGCTGGGATGTAGCTTGGTGGTACAGCGCTTGCCTAGCATGCGTGAGGCCTTGGGTTCCATCCCAGCACCAAAAAAGAAAAGAAAAAAAAAAACCTTACGCACCTGAAATAATTTAAGCATTAAATGGTTATTGCATCACCATAATATTCAGGTGAAAATATGTGGGTTCCTCTAAGTCCTTGATGAACTCATATTCCTTTAGACCACCCTCAATGGATGTGAAACAACATGAACTTATTATAAGGACAAGCAAAACAACCTTGATGGAAGTCCCCCAGCCAATAATCAGGGTCACATTGTCCTTCCAGCAGAGGCTGCAGGGATACATATCTGGGCGAAGACTTATATCATCCCGGGGCACATTGGTAATTCTTTGCTTTGAGATGATGTCAAAAATCTTCACACCCTGGAAAATAAAATAGTATTAAGCATCCTCTGCATAGGAGGAAGAAAGTAAAAGAAAATTTATTAACATTCCTTCCTACATGTCACCCATAACCAACACTACAAAATACTGATGGTGTTTACTGGGCGCAACAAGAAGCCACACAAGAGATATGCTCTTGATCCAGATGAACCCTGGTAGAACAGAAACCACCACACTTCTTCTGGGACAAAGCATATCTAAGTGGATGGCATAGCTGACTCAAATCCAACACAAATGTGAAATGCACAGATATAAAAAAATTTATTTCCCAAACAACAGACAAGTAATAGTTCTAATGTTCCACCACAGAAATAAGGTCAATTTATAGAAAAGCTTTGATACTGAAAAACCACCTATATAAAGAAAACTACATTTGACATTTTAAAGTTCTCAAATGGAAACATCAAGTAAGCAGCTAACCAAAAGTGAACCCTAAGATCACAGGTTTATTTACTTTTCTTATAACCCAAGAGAAGAAAAGTTCTGAATCACAATGGGGACATTCCTTTTATTGTTTAAAACTTAATGGAAGTGATTTGTAAAACAATACCTTGAAATTGCAAAAGATAAGCCAATACAAAGACTAGTTTTTAAACTTTCCACTGGCCCCAATTTATATCTAATAAATTTAAAATCAGTGGAATACCAAAAATTATGATTCACTTTCTTAAAGTGGATCTTTAATCATACTCTCTGATTAAACTGGGAGTAAACAGGAAATCAGAAATACTCTGCATTTGTTTCATATCAACTGCTACTTGCCCCGGGCCAATAGGCAAATGGTATTTTCAACAGCACATTCCCAGTGCAGCCCTTCAATTATTAAGATTGCTTTTCATTTTCTTGGCTACTCCCATGCCTCAGGTTTCTTCTTCTAAAAGAGAGTACAGAATGTGTTAGGAATTACCGTATGAAGAAAGTCAAAAGCAATCTAATTTCTTTAACCTTCCAGGTTTGTATCTTTCAGAAATGACAACCATAGCAAGCAGCATCTTGTTCCTTTATCATGGACCTATCAGTCTGGCCTCTTTTCTGCCACTAAGCAAGCATCAGGAAGAACAGAGATGTGATTTTTACCATATTATTGGCCCAGGCAATCAGATGGCCTCTCCACTTCACACTCCGTATGTTCCCTTCCCCTTCGTGCAGAACAGAAGACTTCCATCTGTTCATCCAGGACCGTTCAAACAGGAGCAGCTAGAGGCAAACAGTGTAGCCTGAGACTCGTTTATTAGATTGCTTGCTTACTATTTTTGCCTCTCTATGTGACCAAATAAGAAACAAGACATTCTCAACATTTTAAATGCAGATTTATAGTAGCTGATCTGCATTTTGGAGAAAATTCCCAGTACATTATACACTGCCCTGACCTTGTTTAAAATGGCTTTGGGTGTTGAAGTTACTACAAGGCCAAGCCACAAGATGGCACCAAACTACCAAGATTCATGGAAAATAATGCACATCAGTTAAAAGCTGTGAATTGCAAAAGATAATGCTTGCCTAGGAATTAATTCATTTTGTAAACTGGGAAATCAAAACCTCTTAAGTTTCTTACTAAAAATGTATTATTGTTCATAGATTAATTGTAATAGTTAGAATAAATCTGTTTTTCATTTAACCCAAGATAAATAATTTGACAGTAACTTTTGAGCAGTAATTTGTATCACAAAATAAGGGAAATTTTCTGTAGGATTAAACAGCTTTAAAAAGTTCATAATTAAGCTTAGGAAATGGCTGAAGTGTCAGAGCACCTCCTAGTAAGCATGAGGACTTAAGTTTAAATCCAAGCACTGCCAAAAATAAAATTAAAAAAAACTTACAAGTTCATAGCAGTAGTCTTTTTTAGTGGTATTGCGGTTTTACTCAGGGCCTCCATGCTTGGTTCTACAGCTTGAGCCTTTTTGCTTTTTAGTTATTTTGGGGGTAGAGTCTCTCATTTATGCCCCAGGCTGGGCTGGACCATGATATTCCTATTTAGGTGTGTGCCACCAAGCCCACCTCTTGGTTGAGATAGGGAGTCTCCCAAATTTTTTTTTTTTTTTTTTTTTTGCCCAGGCTGGCCTCCAACCACCATTCTCCCAACTCTACCTCCCAGTAGCTAGGACTCCAGGCATGAGTTTTTATTTTAGGGAAGAATCTGTAACTAAATCTAAAAATCCCATCAGAAATTTTTAATATAAAATATAACTGGTTGATGCCCTCTAATAGTGAAGAAGATAAAGTTCTAGTAATTCATGTATTAAGGACATAATATTTTTCTTGCTACATACAATTTAGATCCTTTAAGAATAAATATTTATGCAATATATAACTCAAGGCATATAACCTGAAATACATGTCTATTCCTTACAAGCAAATGCTGATAACATTACAAAAGAGAACTTTAAACATTTCTATCATTAAAGGCAATTTTAGTTTACCTTAGAATATTTTGTATCCCCACCACCCCACACACACCCCTCCAAAATGATGGGAGAAAACACAAAACCAGAAAGAGTAAATTCACATTTTACTTGTATTCCCTATACATCTCTTTCAATGTTTTCTATAGTAAGAATAGATATAAAATGGGGGGGAGGGGTGTGAAACCCTGGAAATTAATAAGTGTTCAACTTCACAAGTAAGCAGACTCTAGTCACTTTAATATGCTATAAATGTTTGACATTCTCCATTATCACTGAAAAAGTAAGAAGGCCTCACAACCTCCCCCCTGCAGCCTAGAGGCATGCATTTGCTGAGCATATTAGTTCTGTTTTCCCATTAGTTACATCCTGTACATTCTTAAGGCCTTCTCACTAATCTTGTCCTCTCCCATCTCAGCTGCCACCATGCCTCCCTGACATCAAGTCAGAGACCCTTGTGGGTACCCTCTGTGATTCAGCTTCTTTCTCTGAAATCATACAAATAAAAGAGTCAGGGAGTCTCTGGGTCCAGCCAAATGCAGAAGGATGATGAATGTGCTCAGTATTTTGTCATAAGATAGGTTTGAAACTTAGAAAAGGAGGGCAAAATCTAAGAATATAATTTCTGCTACAAAAGAAAGTCATACTCCACTAAAAACAGGCAGCTAATATCAATTATTTTAAACAAGAGGTATTGATAAGCTCAAAGCATCTATCTTCCACCTATGGCCTGGGACTGGTGGAGGTTATTGAAAGAAAAGGGTAAGGCATCAAAAGCGCTTATTAACCCCATCAGAAGGAATGACTGGCTGGTTGGCTGGAAAACAGCCTGGTAGAACTGAATTCTTTGCCCTCACCAATTCCCACCTAGAAATAACCAATGCAGTATTTAAAAAGGAGGGATAATCCAAGCCTGTATTGAGAATACTAAATATAACCTAAAGTTTCTGTAAAATATGGTAAAAATAAGATCCCAGAAAAGGCCAGGATTTTACTCTTTCCCAGAAAAGGCCTGCCTGGGAAGCAGGTGGTCAGTCAGGTACTAGAATGCCAAAACATTCCCTATGCTGAGTGAAACCAGTCTGGAGGTGATGGGAGTCACTAGCAAATCTCAGCTGAAACACAAAGGCTTAGGTTGCACAGGTGGCATACCACCAGCACTCCAGCTGCCACTTGGTAAGGACAGCTGGCAAGGAAAACAGTCACACTGGCAACAGGACAGCACCATGGAAATTTCAGTATTTGAAAAGAATAAGACTTATTAGAGAGTAAAAGATATATCTCACTCCTGACCCCACAGGAACAAAACATTCTGAAAAGTAGAAGAGAACCTCAAAAGAAAGATCTAACTCTTATCACCATTCTTAATAATTTAATAACAAAGAATAAGAGAAACAAAATGAAGAAGATAAAAAATATTCTCAATCCTTCGTAAAAGAGGAAAATCATACTGCATCCAAAGTATTCTGAACATGAGAATACTCTCACTATAAACCTAAACCTTAAGGGAAAGACCATTGATCTGAAAGATAATGATGAGCAAAAACAGAAATGCATGCACTTGCCACATGGCACAAAACAAAACACTTCACTGAAGTATTTAAAAAGGGGATTAAATAAAGACACATTATGTTCCTGGATAATTCACAAAACTCACTGAAGAGCGTTAAGTCTCACTAAATTAATCTTTGATTTAATGCCAGGCCAAAAAAAACCTCCAAAGGTATTATTTTAGAAATTACAATAGTGCTAAAAACCTAATTTGTGAAAACAATAGAAAAAATTTTGGTGAGAGGGGTGGATTTGCCTTGCCAGATAGCAAACCATTTTTTAAAAATTAACAGCCAAAACAGTACAGCAATGGTCCCAGAACTGACAGATGAAAGGAAAAGAAAAGAAGAAAGAGATAAAGATGAATCAAAATGAAGTCACCGGGCCTAGAGATGGAGGTGGAGTTATGTAAAGGGGAAGCAGCGACTTCATACTACTGAGCACACCCTTCTGGAGGACCCAAAACTCTAAGCATTGCATTGCGAACCCAAAGCTCTAAGTCACCTCAGAAGTTCTTACCTAAAAACTGAAGTTAAGAAATGATCAGGCAAATGAGTAAAGCAGTCTGCAAAGCTATTTATAACAACCACAAAGGACTAAAGACTGAGAAATGCTTGACATAATGTGGTATGTCTACACAAATGAAGACTACGTATTCATTTTTAAGCAATTTTATGTATACTCATTAACAAAGACAGAGGACATATTAAATTAAAAATCAAATTATAAGCATTTCATAAGATGCCTCTCAAATAAAATATGAAATGTGTATCTACATATGAGTGTGTATCTATATATGCTGGCAGGAGATTTTATATTGAGTATTTCTATTTTATAATTATTCTGTACTGAACATGTGGATTCTTTTTATAATGCTGCCACGCTAATGAGGATGGATATGACATTCTCTTATTTTACATTCCAGTTAATTTAGGGAAATAGTTGAAACAATAAAAACAATATAGAAACTTACTAGAATGTGAAGAAGAAATGTTTGAGGCATACCCAGCATGTATTAGAATTAATTTACATAAACCATCCTTACTTTCTAAAGAAAATATTTAACTTCTTTGGAAAATCACTAATAAAATCTTGTTGCAATTCAAGTGAAAATCTAAACTCACTCCTCTGAGTCCCTTCTGAGGCATGTAGTGGCTTCTGGTTATAGGAGGAAGCTAAGTAAGGTTGCTGGACTCTGGCTTCCCTTTGTCTCCTGTTCTAGCTCCAAGGAAAACTTCCAGCAGAGAGCAGGAAGAAAAGGAAGGAAAGAAGAATTCTGAACTCAGTCCATCTCAGGATTGATTCAACAAAGCTTGTGTATCCTGCTCTGACACAGAATCAAAGCAGCAAAGAAGCTTCTCCTTCAATGTTAACAATTTTAAATGTGATTCATGTTGCTTTTCTGATGTTTTTCAAATATCAATAGTTCTAATCACTTTACCTTTATGTTTTATGGAAGAAAAAAATAAGAAAGTATCTGTAAATAAATAGGCTTACATGTATTAGGGAAGAACATCACTTAGGAGAATTCTTTAGTAAGTCAAGTAATTTCCCTCCAATTTCATAGTTCTGAATAGGTTTTATGGTTACGCTAGTTTGATAACAGTACAATGAGACCTGTATTAGTGTATCTTGTTCACAGGGATCCATGTGTCAACTGTGCTACCTTGCCTCTCCCCAGGAAACTGTAAATGCACTGGGGAAAGGGACCATATCTTATACATTGTAGACATATAGGCATGATAAATATTAAATACAAATTTAATGTTTAAGGTGAGGTCCACTTACCTGAATTCTTTTCCTGCTTTGTAGCAAACACTATGTTTGCTACAGGTGGAGTTATGTAACTACTCAAAATCCTTCTTCAGTTCCTAAGCCCATCTTTAGTTAGTAAGTGTTCCTAAACTATTTAAAACACACTGGAATCTGTCTTAAGATTAAAAACAATTAAAGGAAAGAACTCTGGGACTGATCCATACAATGAACACATCTTCACTTTCAGAAAGGGTATTCACTTCTACTTTCCTATGTCCAACTCCTGCAATGACCACCTATTATTACCCTTGGCTCAAGGCAAGAGAGTATAATTTGTATTCAAATTGTCAAAAATTAAAACTTACTTTTAAGGTTAGTCCTCCCCAATTCAGTTTAAGTCATCACAGCTCCCTTATTTCAGGGACACAAACTGGCTATCCATTTGGCTTGCACAAATTATCTGTGTGCCTGCAAAAGGCTCTCTGACACCTAACCTGCTTCTTTCCTCAATGGCAACTTGCTGGCTCCATGGAGCATTTCTTTCTGCCTTTCCTCACACCCCGACTTTTAGCCTCTACTAATGAGTCCAATTTTCTAATCCTTACATAGTATTAAACCATAAATGCCAGCTAGTAATTATGGAATCATTTGCATTCTTATATTTATGCAGGATGACTTATAGTATTTACTCTGTATAGCAGACCTTCACACAGCAGAGAAGGAACAAGAT